TGATATCTTACAAATGAATCTGAAAGTAAAAGATTATTTTTTTTTTTCGATATGTCATTATTGTTATTCCTATAAGAAATTTACGTGGAGAATTGCTACTATTGATTGAATGTAATTGTTCAATTTCATACGGTGTTGAAGTAGCAAGTGGTCGAAATGATGTATTATTTCGTTGTTTTAAACGACTAGTAGTATTTAAATGTTCAAATACGAAAAATGTTGGTTCTTGTTGTGTAGAAAAATTTTTTGATTGATGTGAATAACGTCGTTTTGTTTTTCCCATAGTTAAATTCTACAAAAAAAAAAGAAAAGAAATTATTATTCAAACTAATCTTTTAGGATAATAAAATAAGAATTGTGATATAATAGATGATGTCATCCACGTGTGTATTTCACACATTGAATAATGAATGATGTAAGATTGGTAATGGATATTTTTATTTTATTTAAATTGTCTTAATCTATTAACCAATTAAAACATAAATATATATGGATGTTCCCGAGATCGATCAGAAGATCTTTATTGAATTTAAATGAACTTGAAGAGAATGCATGGTTATTCTTTTTTTTTTTTATACAAGACTTTCCAATGTATTTCAAATCGATCTTTTGTATTGTGTATTCAGAAAATCTGAATAGAATAAAAAAATTTCAATACAAACTTGTGGTGAAGTTTTTCGAATAGGACGTTGTTGATTAATTGTACTTGGCTTCTTATCCATAGAGATGAAAAGTGTTGCAAATGATTATAGATAAACAAAACAAAAAAAAATAAAGATATAATGGTCACAGATAATTTTTTTTCTTCTTTCTCTTCGTCATATACAATTGGTGAAAAAAAATTATTCGAATGACGAATCATTCGTCAATTAAGAGAGAAAAAGAAATGATTAACTTTGATCATAAATTATATGTATAGAGATGTATTCTCTCTAGATTAGAACACGTCGAATTGGTTCTGGATTTGAAAATTTAGCTCTAGTCGTCGGAGAAATGTGTCGAAAATGCTAATCACTGAGTCGGAAAAAAGTATTCTGTATCTTCTGTCAACTCGATGTTCGTAGGAGGCGTCGCATCCTTAGCTTCCACACTGAATAAAATATTGCTTTTGGGTGATAATTCTATTCCGGTTAGAAAATTTTAACTCTAGCTTAAATTCAAGTCAAAAAAAAGTTTTCTATCAATACATGAGAAATTTAAGAAAACAATCTAGTAGATTTGATATTGAATACTTCGTAAGGTTGTTCTTCTATCAAGATAATGTTAATTTATTGATTTTGCTATTCAATCAAAAAGATGTGATGATTAAATGTTGTGATGTTTTTTATATACAATCCTTTTATTTTTTAGATGATCAATTAGTTGAACATAGAAAAAATTAGAATGTATATAACGATCTGCTTTTTATCATCAATATATATGTTTAAAAGAAAATGGACATGGATATGTTATTGAAATTTCATTTCAATATTGTTTCAAATTAAAAAAACAATATGTTCGTTCTTTGATGAAATAAATGATTAAATTTAAGAATAACTCCGAGCTGAAAATACACATCATTTTTCTCTAAAGTGATGCACAAATTCCTAAGGGTGTGAGTGTAATACGACTGTTTCACTTGTGACACTTACTCTCGTAATATTGAGAAAGTTGACAATTAGGATGAGAACAATGTTTATATTTAATTTTACTTTTATTCTAACTAAGAGTCCTAGGAAAAAAGTATTACGACAGTATCTGTTTGACGAGTACTAGTCATGGATTTGTTGAGAAACATGTGAGGATTGTGTCTAAAATGAACATATACCTCTGTAGTATAGTTGCTAAAAGTCAATAGTGAAATGAAATTATCATCATGTTTAAGTAGACACATATTTCAATTCGAATTATAGCGTGTAATTCTAGTCACTTAATCAAATTATTTATTTTTCTCAATCTTTGTATCAATCTTGATCACGAATGCACTAATCATTAATTGTAAAATCATATAAACAATAAGAATAATTATTGTAACGATTATTTTATCAAATAATGTACTCTTACAAATAAAGTTAAATAACCAAATAAGAAAAGGAATACCAACTGTTACAATCTAAAAGATTAGAATAGTTCGGAGGAATAGATGCTTGAGGCGCATCACGATCATCATCAAAGATATCATGTTGAATAAAGTATTCATAGATATTATGATTCTGAACAAAAAACAATAAAAGAAATGAAATATTAAAAATTTGTAAATGATTCTTTAGTCAAATGATAAGAGTCATCCTTAGTTTTCCATCAATCATGAATTATCTCATACAGATTTTCAAGAGGAACTTTTCAATAAGAAAATAAATCTATTTTTGAAGGATACAGACAGACTCTTACTCAAAATATTGACATTCACTTTTGTACTATAAATGGATCATTCGTGCATAGAGGAATAAGTTACGTAAATTTTCGATTTATCAAGACATCTCCAATAGAAAACTATATCGAACAGCTAGCTATTCTGTAGTACTTCTTTGGTAAGAGTTGGTCGGAATGAGTATAGTTTTGATTGATTCTGAAGGCTTGAAGAAAAGGACTACAAAACGATATACTTTTCGATTTTTTTTGGAAATGACTTTTCTTAATCCTAGTACTACTAACCGGAGTCTATTTGGATCCTATTGTAGGAAACAGAAATTTAAAGAAAATATTTTAGTATTTTTCAGCTTCTAAAAATATTTAGCATTTTTCACCATCGAAAATTTAAAGTTGACTGTACAAAAGAAATTCATCTTCCTTTTTTATTACTAGTCTATTTTCCCTAGAGGAATTCCCCAAAAATCCATCGGAAGTCCCTAAAAACAAGAGATTCTCTGGGAATATTTTAGAGAATCTCCACATTTTACGGAGCGGGAAGAAAAAAGTGTGCTACCTGGAGAGTCACTTTCTAGGAACCCGTCAAGGAGTATTTTTTGTCATTGATTTCGAGTCCATAACAAATCTCAGTAATATTATCACTAAGCTTTAGCCATCGAAATACAAGTATGTTGTAACATAGATCGAAAGGTAGGTAGATAGGTAGGCATGTCGCTCAGTCATAATACCACTGATGAATGCTATGCACTAGCTTGTATATGCCTTAGGAAACTGTCCTTTATGAAGGACTACAGAGTCACTTATAAAGCTGCTTCCTGAACAATTTCTAGGGGCTCTCGATGAACTCTCTTAGAAATCCCCAGGGACTTCTTGGGGACTTGCTGAGGAGTTCTCGACTAGGGATGCACTAAATCCTAGAAATTTGACAGAAAGATTGTAGATTTTCAGTTTGAAAACTCCTCAGATCCAGTCAAATCTTTGTGCCATTTATAACCAGTTTTACTTACTCTACCCGATATAGGTGTTAGATTTCCACTAGTTTTTGAAAAGAAATCCTAAGGTTTGACAGGATTTGACTGAAACTATGCTTTTTTGGCGTTTTTTTGTCAAATCCTGTCAAGCATTAGGTTTTTTTTAAAACTAGTCGAAATCTAATACCTATATTGGATAGAGTAAGCAAAACTGGTTATTAGTGACACAGAGATCTGACTGGATTTGACGCATCCCAAATCACGAGTGTTTGGTATGGCTTCATATCCTGATCAGCTAACAAAATTATAACAAGGTAAGGAAAATGTAAAACCAGTTCAATTGTTAGTCCGCAATGCAATGGATCATTTACTAATCTAGTTGGATATAGCTTCAACCTAACTCATATCGTCGATTTTTTATCAAAGCCGACGATTGGACTCGTT